TAGGGAAAAGTCCCCACGGTACTACACAAGGGAAGAAAAGGAAACGTCTGTAACCTAAGAACTGGCTTCTGCCGCCAAGAGGGGAAGGGAACTGCACCAGAAAGGGAAGTAAAAGTGGGAAGTGAATGTGCAGTATCACCATGTGAAGAGCCTGTGTTTCTGGTGCCTGCTGCAGTCTCATTTTCTGCCAAAAGCTACAAGGCAGGTGGTGAGCACTTGGCATGAAGTTCCCTGCAGCAGCTGCAGTGCGCACAGAGGGGCCAGCCTGCAGGAAGAATCACGCTTTGGACAAAATGCCAAAGTGTAGCAAATAAAGGGATCCAGAGTCACCTCCAAACTCTGATCCTTAAGGGGGTGGTTTTTTTGTTTGTTTGTTGTCCATCCAGTAGGGAAGATAGGAAAAAAAAAAAAAACCACTAGAGAACTTGGCATTTAGTCTAGTCTTAGGTAAACAGCTCTGCTACATCTCCTTAATTACAGCATAAAAATGTTCCACTAGCGAAGCGTATTCCTTGGGCCTGTAGCCGAACTCTGGACTGCCTGCAGTACTGGGTATTCCCTGTAATACGTACTTGAAGTTCAGAGGTGGGGAAGTCAAATCCAAAGGCTGAATCTTTAGACAGGAACCAAGTTTCTTATCTAGGGGGACTCTCCTTTCTAGAGCCAACATTGCACAAGAAATTGGGTGCAGGTTACTATGCTCACAGGACTTCCTCTGATGAAGCTCTTGGGGCTGCTTTAGATCACATATGACCTACTCTGAGCTGAATCCTAGAAACTACTGCCGGGTTTTCAATCTTGTCCTGATTCCAGGCCAGTTCTCTCTTGAACCACAATGCGAGGAGGAAAAAGACCAGTTGCCAGCAGCGACTACTTGGTAGCAACCTCGAGAAACGCTTTTCGCTGTCTGCTATCATCTGCAGCAGTTCCCTCTGCACGGACAGTAGATGAGTCGTGGCACACTGTTAGTGAGCTAGGCCCTCTGCTCCAAGCACAGCCTTCCCACCATCATCAGCCCAATGGCTTGAGGGAAAAGCACTCGAAGCAGGTTGACCCTGAAGAGAGATGCAGCTCCTGACGGCACTGGACGTGGCAGCTGCTGGAGGCCCAAGCCCCTCTACCAGAATCCTGGTGAGTGGTAACATTTACAATCACTGAAAGAAGGAAAACTCTTGACCAGCTCCAGTTGGCCACATTGGGAATCCTAGACTAGGTAAGCTGTATGAGGACTGGGGGCACCACACAGTATGCTGGCTTCAGAATTAAGGTGTCATTTCCATTAGAGTAGCTCAGTCTTCTCTCTCTGGGACGTCACCTTTAGAAAGCATCCAAAAATCAAGTCCAGCTTCATTCTAGGAGGCAATAGCCAAAGCAGAACGCTCAGTAACTGGAAGGTGCCCAATCATCCTTAGGGGCAACACTGCTCCCTCCTACTGCCTGGGAAGGAGTTGAAGCAACTGTCAGGCCTGCTCTTCTCCCTCATTGGAAACGTGCCGGTAGCCAGGGGGCTGAGACTGTATGCGAAAGAGTACAGTCAAGAGGAGGATTATAAGGAGAAGGAGAATGGATCCACACACAGCCAGGCCCACAAACAGTTCTGCAAGGGAGAAAACAAGTGGTCAACATGGTATCGTCCAGGCTTTCCCCTTCTGCCATGCTCTGGTCCAGCCTGGGCTCACCTGTGTCGTGGATGCTGCTTGCTACCCGACATTCTTGCTCCCAGTCCTGGGGAACAACAGGATCTGTGAGTTCTACAAATCTTTGCAGTGGGCACTTATGCTGACAGCCAGGGATTGTCATTGGGAAAGGTTCCTTCCCACTCTCGTTCCGGAAAAACATCTCCACGGAGAAGTTACTGAAAACAAAACATAGCTAAGTATTTTTTTTTTCTCCAGCTAAACTCATCCCTTCCCAAAAACTCAGTCTGCACACCCTTTCCTTTAGTCTGGTGGTAGTTTTCCTCCTAAGAGTCTGCCACTAGGAACAAGATTGCATCCCCCTCGGGTGGAGCCTAGGCTAGGTATCTAACCCTTGAGGTGAAATCACAGATGTCTTTACTGCAGCCCTCACCCATCATCCTCTTGGTACAGCTCAAATAAATGACATGAGGCGTATGGTGCTTGAATCTTGTTGTAGACATCTAGAGCCATCTGCAGTGCCACAAGTGTGGTGTCATGCTGAGAAAGAGGGAAAAAAACCAAATCAGTCACCCTTATGGATGTGGCAGGGCAGCTCAGACCACACCAGTAACGGACAGGGCAGTGCTGAGGGGACGTCACCTTTGTAACTTCCATCTGGAAGGAAGGAGAGGAACTGTACTGCTAGAACGGTGATCCGTGACAGTGCCAGAGAAGGGAAGTGAAACACAGCCATATATATCCTGCATTGTTCTTTAAGAATTAATCTCTAGGGAGCGATCTGGGAGAGACGCTTGACTCTCCAGTCAGTTGGCTGCTAGAAAAGGGGGGGATGACTCTTTATCTACAGTGCTGAAATCACATTTGAGTAACATCAACCCATCTACCAAATAAATACAGCAGTGGCTCCCCAGAGTCTGCCAGTCTCATCCACAAGCCTGAGCTAACAGGAACAAAGTGCAGGTTGGGAATTTTCCTCAGGGGCCCCAGAGGAATGATGCCAGATCCTGCATATCCCACCCTGCCACAGGCAAAGATGCATGTCCTGATCACTGCATGGGCTGCAGAGAAGCCAGAAAAGGTTAAAACTATCGCCAAGCCCCATTGCCCTCTGAGGAGGAAGAGATGGAGAAAAGCTAATCCCCCAAGCTCTGACTTACCGCTGAATAGGCAAGTACTTTCAGGTTCTGGTGAGCAGAAACATTTGTTGCTTTGATTAGGTTTTTCCTTATGTGACCCAGCAGGACCCCTGAGGAAAGGGAACAGCTGGTAAGAGGCAAAAACTAGACAGAGCAGCAGGAAGCTCCATCCCCGGCACACTCACCGCCTTGCAGACGAGCTTTTTCTATGCGATTGTGGATCCCAAACAGAAATTCAAACCCAAAGTCTTTCAGTTGCTTCAACTGAATCATGACATCTGGTGTCACCCATAGAGGCAAATCCATTTTGTGTGCTTGCTAGAAAGAGAAACAGAACATTCATCTGCAGGTAGCATGGATCACAGATTAATCAGAGAACAGGAGTCAGGGTGTCTGGAGTCCTGCCCATACCGCCATTGATTTCCTATATTATTTTAAATATGCCCCTTTTCTATTTATGCTCCTGTCCTCACACTGCTGTGCTGCATAGAAAGAAGGTATGTGGGTTATAATGCTGTTTCAGAAACTAATAAGTAGAGGCATAAAGATTAAAATCTAGGAGCTACATTTCTGTGAAAGGCCAAGTGGAGTGCCGGGTTACCTTGTAACACCGGTGCCATAATCTTAGGGCATTTACTTTACGTGTGGCTGATTCTGCCCTGCAGATGGCATGCAGTCCAAAAAAAAAAAAAAAGTTGTACCTGCAGCACAATTTCCCCAGAGGCTCTGAGGGCTGCTGAAGGACATTGGAGAAAAAAGTTAGCAAGTGCTCTGCAGATGTAATACTGGGCTGCTCCACTGATAAAGCCCAATACTCAAACCCAGAATACACAGAACTGGGAACCAAGAGAAGAATTGCTTTGCAGCCAACCCATTACAAGAAAGGATTAGTTATACTGGCAGACAAACAGCAGTTGTGGTTCCCTGGCATTACTTGGAGCAATTTTCTATGCCACATCCCATTAAATTGCCAGAATATGAGGCTGAATATTCTTAAGGGCCCATTTTGTCTGAGTGGTTTGGAGAAATTCCCAGCAGCAATTCAGATATTTAGTTAGTTTTTCATTAATTTACAGAGAGAATAGCTGCTAAGTTTGGCTATTTCTTGGACTTTTTTTATTTTCTCCATCTTCTTATTTTCTCCACAGCAGAATGAAACTACTGGCTCAGGTGAGAAAAAACAATCCTTCTCTTCAGGGCACTGTTAGTGAGAAAAAAGGAGGAAGCCCAAAGCAGTTGAAGGGACTGATGAGCTGAGGGTATAGTTTTGAGGGTAAAACTCCCTCACAGAACCTCAAGGGTTGGAAGGGACCTCGCGAGATCATCTAGTCCAACCCTCCTGCTAAAGCAGGTTCACCTAGAGCATGTTACACAGGACTTCGTCCAGGTGGGCTTTGAATATTTCCAGAGGAGACTCCACAACCTCCCTGGGCAGCCTGTTCAAGTGCTCTGTCACCCTCAGAGTAAAGAAGTTTCTCCTCATATTCAACTGAAACCTCTTATGTTTCAGTTTGTGCCCATTGCCCCTTGTCCTGTCACTGGGCACCACTGCAAAGAGACTGGCTCCGTCCTCGTGACTTCCACCCTTAAGATATTTGTATGTGTTGATGAGGTCCCCTCTCAGTCTTCTCTTCTTCAGGCTGAACAAGCCCAACTCTCTCAGCCTTTCCTCATAGGGGAGATGCTCCAGTCCCTTTATCATCCTAGTTGCTCTCCTCTGGACTCTCTCTAGGAGTTCCTCATCTTTCTTGAACTGGGGAGCCCAGAACTGGAAAATGTTTTGGTTTCATTTTGGGACACTGAGCTATTCTCCAAGTTCTTGGGTATTATAGTGTTGTCAGCTGGCCTTCGGGTCCAATTTGCAAGCTTATTAAGTGAGTCTTGAAAACTAAGATTTGAAATTCTTGATCTCTCTGACCAAAAGATTTTTTGTTACTGACAGAAGTTGCTTCACTGTGATTGTTAGAAGACGGGAGATCGTGTTTGTAATACAAAGGGCAAATTTGCATAGTGCACTGGAATATCCTCAGCTTGCAGCAACTCAAGCTGCTACTTTACATCGCAAAGTGCAATTCCATGCAGATTTATCTTGCACATCCCCAAAATAGTACATACCACTGTATACCACTGCCAGCAAGCTAAGGAGCCGTACACCTCCATAGAATTAGCATGATGCAGTGTCAAAACGCTTGGGTTTACGGCTTCTTCCACAATGAACTAGTTTGACATGAAAGACCTCTGTAATTTACTTCATTGGGCTGCACAGTTATACACAAATAAACTTGTGTGCGACAACTGTAAGTCTCCTGGCTATGTGACCTTTGCTTTAGCGCTATCACAGCACACCTAACCCCATTTTTGAATTTGTTAAAGCCTTCATGAGATGTGCTTTCAACAAAACTCCACATGGATATAGAGTTTGGTGCCCCACCCCAGACAGTAAAAGGGGAAGATCGGTCTCTAGCATCTTTCTCTGGCAAAGGACCTCGTAACAGGTCAAAAACCAGATGTGGGTGAACCCCACTTAACCTAGAAGAGCATTCTTTTCTGTTAGAGATGGCATTAACAGAAGCACAGAAAGAAAAGTGATGGATCTAAAGTAACAGAGAGGGAAAGGTAGAACAGGAATAGTCCCAGTTTAAGCTCCCAACTTAAATCATAAAGTTAACGCTCCTTCAGTTTCCAGAGATCTCTTTTCTACCTTATCCAACGCAGACTCGTCCACAGAGATCTAAAGATTCCAGATTGCAGTCATTTTCTAGTGACTCTCAAAAGAGATATTTATTGTGCAGGTGGGACTTTCTCTGGCTCTGGCACAATACATAAGCTAGAAAGTGGGAGGTTATAGGGTGCAAAAGTAGGTAGTTCTTGGCACGTGCCTCTAGTGAGTAGGAACTGTTATTATTCTGAAATTAGAACATTACTTCTAACTGTAGGGTGGGAATGGTGAAAAGTTGTTTTATGGGATTTTTCAAAATCATTTTCTGCCAAATCCAGGGAGCGCTAAAGACCGAGTTCCCATGGCTGTAAGACAATGGCCAAACTTACTTCACAGAACAGTGTGTCATACACGCTCCAAACAGACTCGAGAGAGACATCCCGGAGCCCAGTCTCATTTGCCACCATCTGCAGGAATTGCTGTAGGTATGAGAAAAGAGAAAGGCCTTCAATTTTCTAACCTCATACTGTATTATATGCACAGATATTCCTACCCTTTTCTCAGAGCTCTGATGATACAAAGGTGATAATATGTTAACTACAAGCCTAAGACCACCTTATCTCATGCAAACAATCACTTACCTTATTCTCTTTGGTCTTATTTATGTATTCTGGTGAGTGCCGTGTTTCATTCTGCAGCTGTTCATACCGTGGACAGGGGATCAAAGGAAACTTCAGTAGCTGGGCAGAGACAACAAGAGAAGCTAGGTCACCGAGAACACCGTGGTACAGAATTTGCAGTCAATGCTCACACCTGTAATGAAACCCTGACTAGTGGGATGCATCTACAAAGAGCCTTGAGTACTGCCTCCTAAGATGCTCCAGACCACATGTGGTCTGCTGAGGTGTTGCAGCTACCACGTTGAATGAACACAGCCCCTAAATTCTCGTCTTGTTCTGAGAACAGAAGAACTTTTGCAAGGTAGGTCCCCAGAGAAGCTCAAGACAATCTGAATCGAGACTGAAGCAAAGGCTTTCGGAGAAGTCAGCACAACACACTGTTCGAGTAGTCAGTACATATCCTTGAGACTAACTCACCCTTTCCTCGGACTCGGGCACTGTGTGCACAGGGATAGGCTGCCAGGAGATGTTAGGGTTGAACATCTGTTGTCCCTCTGGGGGATACAGGCCTGCCAGGTTGGCCTCCGCACTCATCAGCGTCCGGTCACAGTCTGTGCTGCGGATGAAGATCTGCCGGGACAGGGACAGCGCACCATTAGTAACACGACAGTAAGCGGTGATGCTCAGATGCAGGATGATGCACTCATGGAGGAACACTGCCAACCACCCTGCAGCCTAGACAACAGGATAACGGGAGTTGAAGCGACCGAGCCTACTAATGTCAGCCTGGACAAAACTAAGGAGAGACACAGAGACAATTTGGTGTGTAACACTGGAGCAGTCTCTTCTGGGTAAGTGGGAGAGCCAGATGCACTGTGCGGTGATTACAGACAGAAAGGAGCCTGAATGCACTCATGAAAAAAACTGGCTTCTCCAGCCTCAGTTTTTCCAACTGAGAAACAAAGATAAGTGATCTGACTAACAGGAGAGGAAGAAAAGGGGGAGCTGGGATTTTATTTGATCATTGTGGGCTCTTGGGAATAATGGGCCAAGACTTACCGTTCCAGAGCTGTGGGGGTGGGGTGGGGGGGGTGCGGGCACAGAGAGAGAGAGAGAGAGAGATCTGAGCCAGGAAAAAAGAGAAACAAGAAAAGTACAGTAAAGTTCAGAAGGTTAAAATGGCAAAACTTTGGTATTCTGGTATGTGTGTACTAAAAACACTTGGGGGAGATTGGAGAGAAATCAGTGATCAAACAAGAGGAACACAGGAAATAATGAAAGAATGTGCTAGAAAACAGCATATCGAAGCTGAACCAAGAAGAATAAAAAGTCAGAAAAATGAAATACAAAGTCAAGATTGGGATTTGTTTTTAAAATGTTAAATGAGAGAGAAACGTAAGAAAAAATACATGTGCTCACTCTGTATAGCATCTGCCACATGAAGTGCATCTCAAAACGAAAGTAATGAGAAAAAAAAAAGTTGTCTTGTCTCTGACAATTTCTACCCACTTTTACCTCTTAACTGTGGCTTGAAAACAACTGACCCTGTACTCATTAGGCAGGATTGCTTTCTATCCTCAGTAAGCTCCGAAGAAACAGAAAGGAAATATTCTAAAAGATAAGGATCTAATTCTGAAAGTGTAGTTAAAACCCGGTTAAGCCCTGAGCACACATATTTTCTTCAGCACCTTTTGCCAGGGCTCCAGCTTGTCGCTGAGTCAGGTGACAGACGGTCATATGGTGTCACCCAGAGGCAACACTTTGTATATGAGGGAGGTTGCTCAACTCCAGCAGGGGTTCAGGCTTGGTTAGCAGAACAGCTTTTGTTTGCATATGCCTTGGTTTGGTTTTGCTTCTCAAGCAAGAGAAGGAAAACAGTTTCAGCTGGTAGAAGCTTTATAAGAGTGAAGTACGTTTGGAAAGGAACTCCTGAGGAAGGTTAAAGGATCTGTGTTTGAGCTGATGCTGGGAGTTTTGTTGATGAAGCAAACGACAAAGAAGGGATGTAATCTGTACTATGGCAAGCTGGGTATTTACTGAGGAGCCCCAAAAGGGGGGAAACAAAGACAGAAAATTGCACAGGGATTCCCAGTTTGCCCTATCTGGTCAATCACGCAAAGCGAGCTCAGACAAAATACCGGGACTGATGCAGAGCCAGCCGAACCACGCGACAGCAGGCCCCTCACTGCCACGCTTGCTCCTCTTCCAGTTGACTCACACCTCTTCGACCAACCAGCACGTGTGTTCCGGGGGGATTTTCTCTTTCCTTAACTTGTTTTAATCTTTCAAATTTTCCCCTGTGCTTAGCACCTGGTTCCACAAGGGCTCCGTAACTTTTCACAAAAGAAACCTACCAGTTTCTCAAGAGCTACTATAAAGCGTGGCAACACCCTGGAGGGAGAGAGCAGTCCCCTTTTGGGGGA